AAGACTCTCATGGTGTTATGTTAATAGCCTTTCTAAAAATGCTTAATATGGTCTAAAGATGTGGTGCCAACAGCCTTTTGTTTGTTCGTTTGACAAATCCTCCAATTCTTTACTTTCTTCCTTCATTCCCATTGATAGCTCTGTGTTGCCTATTCTGTCCTGGGGCACAGCTTCTGTGGTCAGTTATTTTGCAGACATTTCCCAGGACCTGCTTGTGTTCCAGGCACTGCATTTGGTGTGATGGAGTAAGACAGGCACACAGTACTGTTTAAATTATTTGACATCTTCCCTGGTCAATCAGAAAGTCCTGACTTGAGCAGGATCCCATACTGGACTGTGATGGGCAGCCAGCACTTTGTTGCTGAATTGTGGACATGCCTGAGACTCAGGGTAACAGAGAAGGGCCTGGAGGTATTCAGAGCTGTGGTTCTTTACCAACTGTCCAGATATTTTAATAACTACCAGTACAGACTCACTGGATATCGCTGCTGTCTGCTGACTGTTCTCAGATAAATGACCATAGCTCTATGTTCTCTATGAGAATACAGATTTTGGGGTTGCCCTTCTAGCCTCTGTTTAGTCATCCCAAGGCCAGCTTTCTTTCCTAACTTTGGTATTCTATTGGCATCTTTTCTTAGTAACTCACAGCTTTGTGGCAAAGGAGTAGTCAATTGGCAAGGAGAGATCAAGCCCTTGGGCATTTGACAATTTTCCAGGTATTAAAGAGGTTATATGGAGATCCCTTTTTGTTGGTGGCTGGGCAGAGGGAAACCATCCAGAAAGACCATTATGGAGCAGGCAATGGACACTCCTTGTAAGTCCACGAGACCACCAAGTGAGGTCAATAACAGTTATCTGCTAGGTAGGTTCTCTAGGATTACCCTGGCCTCTCAATTTTCTCTGTTAAAAATACAGATATTTACATAGATACAGTAGAGTAAATAAGTCAAGATCTGAGTGGACATCCCAGCCTTTGGTCCTGGCTTTGAAACCAGCTGTGCTTCCACAGAGATCCACTTATGTTCGAATCTGTGGACCTTTGTCTCCACGTGTTTCCTGCCACTCTTACATATCTGAGTGTCATCGCTGGTATAGGCTGGGAGCTTGTGAAAAAGATGTCTCATTTATTATCACAGCCTAGATCCTGGGGGTAAGATTGGGAGTTCTTGCACAGGGAGGCATGGAGGCATGGAGGTGTCTTCTGGTGACTTTTCTCACTGTTCTTTTGCTACATAAGAGGCGGTGAGCGATGGCTGTGAGTTAGTAACTTCTCTTCTCAAACCTATCAGATTTATCCTACCCTGGCCCTTATCTTTCCCCATTTTCGGAGCAGGTAACTTTCAGGGAGAAGATGAGGGTTACTCAGTGTTTGCTACTCAGGAGCTGAAGAAAATGGGCTCGGGGGGCAGTCCCCTTGTGAGGCCTGCTGCCCTACCAAGGGAGATCCCTCCATAGCGGCTCACAGCCATTGGCTTAGCTTGGGCCAAGCAGCAAAGGCCTGTTTAGTGTCGCTGTTTTTATAAGCTAATGAGGGCAGAGTGTGAGCCATGGGCAATGATGCTGGGATATTAACTGTGACAGGAAGCTTGATCATAATTATCTTAACGAGGATAGGGTTAATTACAGTGGAAACTTAGGAGTTCTCTCTGTTTGAATCCACTGGAGCTGAATGCTTTGTGATGTTTTGTCATTTTGATATGACTTTGAAAAAGGCACTGGGCCTCTCCAGACAACCACATGGACTCCTGGGAGAGCCCAGCTGGAACCCTGCAGCAAAGGTAACCAACCAAGGGCACCTGTGGGTGAGATAATGGGCAGCTTCCCTGCTGGTGGGGCAGGAGGCAGGCAGTCAGCAGTGTGCTTCTGAGGTGCTGATTAGGTTTCCAGAGCAAACCACCTGCCCCAGATCGGACTGCAAACTGGCTCTCCCTGTCTGCCCTTGGTGTCTGTTTACTGGGCTGAGAAGTCCTCTCTCCAGCTGGCTGCCCCTTGGTAGCCAAAGAAGCTTTACCTTCCGGCAGCTGACCTTGGCAGAAGTGTCTGCCTTATCTTCCCAGCCCAACTCTGCATCATGCACATCCACTGGCTAGCAAGCAGGTTTGTGGCCTCAGAGGGACGTTCTCCTTGGCCACCTGGGCTCTGTGATCTGGGGGCATAGCTCTCCATTCCACAGTCCACACAAAGGGTTATAGCAGAGAAATGGCAGTCCCACCATCTTGTCCCTGTCACTACCATCACAGTTCCATTAAATAGCGTAGATCTGTATGGATCCTTGAAGCCATTTTTTTTCCCCCTTGTCTTGTCAATTTAGTTAACATCACATACACATTTGCAGGCATCTTAGGGGAGTGGTATCTCCTCTCCCATTTTGTTTTGCCTTTTACTAGGCTCTTTGTCTCCTGTCCCTAGCCCCTTCACTCTGAATCCAGCTGATTAAATCAACAGCATACCCCATACTAGTGGCATGAAGGTTGGGATTTATTAATCAGTGGCTCCCCAGGAAACTAAGCATCTCATAACATTACATGGCAAAAAGGATCTCAAAACCAGAGAGGGGTCAGGCGTTTTGAGCCTGAGCGTCCCAGCTTCTCTCTGCATCCTCACTCCCTGAATTGAGTTCGTCCCCATTCCCAAGAGCAACACTCTGCAGGCACATCCTGCAGTGTTCCACTGGCTTGAGACTTTGTCCCTCTTCATACCATGTCATTTTATTCCCTGGAGCACTCTTGGAAGGAAGCTTCCTCCTGCTTGCCAGTGGCCAATCATTAATAGATCTGCAAGGTGAGAGTATTACATGTGCATAATATATCTTAGGAACACAGTGTATTTGGATGTTGCCTTTGACTAGAATCCAACCGATGTTTGTGCATAAAGGATTTACTAGCCACCCGTAAGGTAGCCTCAGTTGTCCTTGCAGTGTATAGTGCTCAGTCCTGAAAAGCACTTTTGGATCATCACTCATTAACTCTCATGAAGGGAAGGAGTTGGGGAAGTTCAAAGTTGTCATGCTGAAGTGGACTGACATTTGCACACTCGTTGACTTGCCCCCACTTCTGCATCCTAAGCCTGCCTCCTGAAGTCTCTTCCCCAGCGCCGTCGAAGATCAGGGATCCCAGGAAGATAAATGAAAGAAAGAAGGAAGGAAAAGAAAGAAACCAGTACTTGCTAGTAACTTGTTAGTCTTCTTTCACTTCTTCTCCACAAGATCCTACAAGCCTGAAGCATCCTAGAACAAGGAGTTCTGAAGGGCTAACAAATTATGTGCCCAAATTCACAGCTTACGTCCATAGTGGTGCTGAAGGAAAATCCCACACTTTCCTGGCTGTGAGTGTTGAGGTGGTATTTTGAAGTACCTGAAACATGAAGAGAGAGGAGGAAGAAATGAAACACCCTAAACCCCAAGGGCATCGTCCTCCTGCTGAGAAGCAGGTAGCATTGGCTCTGGGAGCAAGTGTGGTCTGGGTGCTGGGCTCTGGGGGGGCGTGGGCCTCGCCTCTAGTGCTGCCTGTGTGCCCAGCGGAGCCTGGAGTCCTAATGACTTATTCACCAGGCACATTACACCTCCCAAGCAATAACATCCTGTTTGAAGTCCTCTTGTCAGACTTCCCACAGGGAGATATAGATGCTCCAGAAAGCTCTGGTGCTAAGTTCACATGCACGCCAGATGCGCAGACATTGCCCACGCAGGCAGGCGGGTCTGTAATGGGAGTGCTATCAGTAAATGAATAAATAGTATGGACGCCATCTCCCCGATTCCTCACATTTTATAGAATAGCCAGGCGATCCCATGCGAGTCCACCCTCTGATCGATGTCGTAGCTCAGCTGTCAGCCTGTGCAAGCTCAGCACAGCTCTGGGGTCTGGCAGGTGAATGGGCTGGGAGTAAGTGTCTCTCTCTGTGTCTGTGCCTCCACCGGAGGCTTTCTTTAATGAAGGTCTGTGTGCGTGGGGGTGAGCACACAACTGCACCTCCTGTCTGCCACTGGCAAGGTTCTTGTGCCCAGGACATTAAGAGTTAACTTGCAGTTAAGTGTATACACAGGGCTCTTTTTCCCTTTCTGGTACTTCCCCCCGTAAGCTGGGTACTTAATTCTTTCAGGTGCCTGTTAACTTACTGTTTCGACATCTTACATTGCTGCACTGGACACTTCTTTGAAAAAGAAGGGAGAAATCACTTTTCATAAATTAAAACGGTAACTTGAAACCAGGAGTCTCAAAGTAGAAAGTCCCCAACCTCTTCCCTAGCGTCCACCCCCCACCCAACAAAAACAAAGCCCAAAACAAAATCAAAGAATAAGAAATCTTGAAAGAAAAAAGAAACAGCCCTTTCAGGCTGGAGAGATTATTTTCTTCCGCAAATGCCTTCCTTTTGGGGCAGCCTCGGCACTGGGCAAAAGCAAATTAAGTGATTAGTACAGAAAAAAAAAAAAAGGGAGGAGGAAAAAGTCAAAGGCAGAGAACATAGAGAAAGAAAGCTTTCCTTGCTGCTTCCTATGGCTGTGCAGAGGAGAACCGCTAAGAAATGATACTTGAAGTTATATTTATTATTGTAAGAGGGGTATGATATTTCTGGGCAGGAATGATGGATGACAACTTAAATTTGTGTCCAGGGAATGAAGGTGAACTGTGACAGAGTTATTTATCTTGGGAATGGAGGTTAGGGTCAGCCGAGGCTGGGTGCCTGAAGGCACAAGACATTGACAAATTTATCCCGCAGGCCGTATCTGAAGCCCTTTGTTTTGGATCCTGGCTACTCACTAAGTGACCCTCATCCTTCATGTTGGCAATGCGTGAAGGATGCGGTGAGTGCCAGCGGCCCCTTCTCCCCCTCCGCCCCCGCCCTGGCTCCTGCTACTAATTCTTGTCATTCACTTTGCTGACAGGCACCAAGCCCAAACTATTCCCAGTCCTGAAAGGGAAGGTTAAAATATTTATTTCGGCTCATAATGGCCTCCCTGATTTAGTGCAGGATCATTTTTCCTGTTGCCTTTGTCATTGCAGGTCACTGGAAGGACTGAGCGCTTTCGGGAGCCTGGAGGAACTCATCTTGGACAACAATCTGCTGGGGAACGACCTCGTGTTGCCAGGGCTACCCAGGCTCCATACCTTAACCCTCAACAAGAACCAAATATCCTTGGCTCTGCTGGCTGCCCCCACTCCCCGCCCAGCCCCGCAGTGGTCCCCTCCCGCATACCCCCTTCCCTCCCCGCCCCATACAAATACCTGTGAAATGTCAAATGAGTTTTATGTGTCAGCTAAATTAAAGTATGTGAAATACAGTCTATGGGCAGACAAAGCGTTCTGTCTTCTGGCACTCGGGACACTTCAGAGTAATTTATTATAGGTCATTCATAAATGAAATGCACCATTATATCTTCCTGTTGCTCCATTTTAGTGTAGAGATCTAAGTTATGGCTGTGAAGAAATCTTTTTAATAGATAAAAATAGAGAAAGAAAATAATGTCACTGCTGCTGAGAAGGCAAAGCTGGGTTCTCTTTGCTTGGGCTTGTGTGGGAGGGCGACCTCTGGTGGGAATTAGCGGGTAATGCGGGTAAGCACTCTGCCTTCGTGGAGGGTTCTGGAAGGCGCTGCCAAGACTTAGGAAACAGTTCAGGCAAAGGAGAAGTGGAGAGGAGGCTATGGTGCAAGATAAGTGTCATGCTCAGGCCTGCCTCTGCCCTATGTGTGTTTACTTGACTGGGTAACGAGGGCCGCCTAGGAGAACCGTTCAAATATTTGTGCACTCCTTAAGTCTTTGAGGACCCAGCCAGCCAGGACTGGGATGGACCAGTCACCTGGAATCTGTAGTAAGCTGATAATGGGATCAAATCTTTATGCAGCAGACAGCCCCTCTCCTCTGAGTTGTGCTTTTCCATGCCCTCACAGTAAGGGTTGTATGTGGCGGGGAACTTGTGAATTGTGATGATTTCTGTATTCTTCACAACAACTAGAATTGCAGCCTGATGCGGCACTGAGGTTTAGTAAATGTGGGATGAATGAGTGAATCATTACCATTTACTGTCTTTTATCTTTATTTTTAATTTTTCAATTACAGTTATTGAGGTAACCATGTACAACACCGGCTGTGTTCTCAGTGTATAAACTCACACCTTTGCAAATGTGTGTTATCACGCAAGCTGTCTCTTATTGAGCCATCTTTTGGCTCAGGCTCTGTGCTGGGTAACGTTAGGCATATTGTTTTTCATTTTTCTCCAGCCCTCTGGTATGGTTTCTCCATTTACCTCGATGAGGGAAAAGGTGAAGTATAGACCACAGCCAGACATTTAACAACAGTCTAAGTTCTGAATTCAATCTCAGCTGCACCTGTGTCCAATGTTCTTTCCATTCTGCTGTGTGGCTTCAGACCTAAAGTGCAAACACCTTGTTTTACTGATAGAATATTTGAGACTTGGTGTGGTTTAATCACTTGCTCATGCTTCCTTGATGTAATGGAAATAGAAAAGCAAGGGGAGGGAAATGCACTGGACTATGGTGATGGCACTTGGGTGATTTGGTGATGGGAAACCCAAGGGGATTGCAACTGAGATGGAAAAATGCACAAAAATATGTATAAATATACTAATATAATAATAATAAAAAGAAATAGAAAAAAGTGATCAGGGCATTTTCTCCTAGAGTATGAAATAAAATCAGACACTTATATTAAGTTTAACATATATGCATGCCAATATTTAAGAATAATTTGCAAAATCATTTATTAGCTGCTATTCATGTTTTCAGTCATAGGGCTAGTAATTTCATGATTCTGTAAAATATGCTACTTGTAGCCGTTACTGACTTAATGAAACAGAATGAGAAGGCCAACAAATAGATATCAGTCTTTACCAATGAAATCCTGATGAATTTCCCCTCTCTTCTACCCTTTGGTCAACCAAGTTTTCTGTTGATTGATTGCAAGATGATGATGTTGATAGTATGTCTTATGACTTCCTTGACTATCCTAATAATTTTCTCAAGTCAGTAAAGAACAGAAGGGTTAGTAGATTAGAATTTGGATGATAGGGTTTCTCAGACTACAGTGTCTCTTTCTCTGTGCCCCCCATCACACTAGAGTATTCAAGTCCTCAGACTGATTCAAGAGTCAGTGCAGTCATATTTAGCTGTATGGCCTTGGACAAATCATCCTCTAAGAGTCACTGGTTTTCATTTAAAAAAAAAGTTTATGCATACAGAGCTGGGGTACAGGCCAGAGGTACAAGGGTGGTGAGAAGCTTACAGAGACAGAGTGGGGAGCAGAACAGGCAGATTGGCGAAGTACACTGCTGAGGGGAGCAGCGGGCGGGTCAGGAGAGATCTGCCATGCCATGTGGTCACCTCCTGGGGTGGGGATCGAACTCATGCTGAAGTGGCTTTAGCTTCTTAGTGCTGTGCTTTAACCCACTGTGCCACCAGGGAGGGCCCTGATTTTCATTTTTACAGGGTTGAGTTGTACTGGGTGATGGGTTTATTCTCAGTATTGCTGTCACCAGAGACTACTAGGATTTTTGGCACTATTGTGCTGAGAGTTTATCTTTGTTAGTGTTCCTTTCCCACTCCATGACTCTGTAGTAGTAATGCCGAGAGAGTAATGATTTTGGCCTGAGAAATACAGAAATGGAAATGCAATATGTAGCTATGCAGCTGTCCAGTTATGCCACTGTGCTGCTGCAAAGTATGATGAGTAGGTACAAAAGGTGATAGTTGGCGTTTCCAGAATGCAGCAGGTCTACTTCCTTTCCTCTGTTCTGTGGTTGTGATCCTGAAAATCTGATTCCATACACATGATCCAGAAGTAATCCATTGAAGGGTAGATAAAAATCAGTGAGGTTTCATACCTCCTCTAAACTTACTACTCTGCCTGCCTTTTCAGCTAACTGTGAGCTACCAGCTCCACTTACCAGGTTCCACTTGCTTTTGTTATTATATGAAATGCTTTACTTGGGTTCTGTCAGTTAGCTTTATTGCAAAATAGCATCCTTAAAGTTAGTGATGTGAAAGAACTAATATTTATCTTTCATTCTATGTCTCAGCTCTCTGGGCAGGGCTCAGCAGGACAGTTCTTTGACTACTCTTGTCTTGGGTTCCTCAGGTAGCCATAGTGATCTAGAGGCTCAGCTTGGGCTGGGCCTAATTTATATGGCTGGATTGTTAGCAGTTGTTGACTGAACCACATCACTCCATGCTTGTGCATGTGGGAGGGGTGTTCCCAGAACATATGCCCCATTTTGCAAGTATTTTTCATGTCCTGTTTGCATTGTGTGTTGCTGTCTCATGGCCAAAGCCAGTCACATATCAACTGTAGAACAAATACAAAATGGGACTACACAAAGTGTGGATGAGCCATGGCTCATTCTCCTAAGGGTTTCTCCACATACCTTGGAAGGCTGTCTCTTAAGACTTTACTACATATTTGTAATAAAGTAAGATTCTAGAATATAGTACTCCACAGTACTCCACAGACCTTGGAAGACTATCTCTTAAGACTTTACTACATATTTATAATAAAGTAAGATTCTAGAATACAGTACTTATTGGCTTTTTAAAAAGGTAAGTAGAAACTCTTTTAAATTGTATCTTATTTTAAATGTATTAAGAGACTTAATATCAAATGGGTTCTATTTCATCATCTTTTTTGACATTGGTTTTGTTTAGAATTCTTTTTTTCTTTTGCTTTTAGGCATGTAGAATGGTTATTCACCCCACCCCAGCGTTTCTCCCTTGCAAATTTGGAGTTTTCCATTTGGGCTTTACTCAGTTAAGTCTGTCTACATAATACTCTGTAATATTATCCTGAGGGCTCAGGATATGGGCTTCTTTTGGCCTTTGGCTAGAGACACTGTTACATATAGTTAAGAAGAGGTATTGAAGTTGTACTTCCTGGGCTTGTACTCTAAGGCTACTGCTCATTGCATGACCTTGGAAAAGCTATTAAACTTCTCTTTGCTTTGGTTTCCTCTTTAAAATGAGCGGAATAATAGTACCTACCCATAGGTGGTTATAAAGTTACTCTATCTCACAAACATTAGCTTCTAGTACATACACAAGTAAGTAATGGCACGGTTAATATTTCTGCTGTTACTGTTATCCTAGAGGATTATGTGAACATCTCTGATCTTTGAAAAGGCACAGTATAAGCAAGTGAAGAATACAGATATACCTTATTTAATTGTGATTTGCCTATTACTCATTCAAGAGTGTGTATATTTTTACAAATGGATGGTTTGTGGCAGCCCCACATCAGGTAATTCTATCGGTACCATTTTTCAAACAGCGTGTGCTCAGTGTCACATTTAGTCAAGGTATGTACAATTTTTTAAGGTATAGTGTTTTTTACACACTTATGGGATACAGTATAGTGTAGCCCAACTGACATATAACTGGGTAACCAAAATTTTGTGTGATTTGCTTTATTGTGATATTTACTTGAGTGTAGTGGTTTGGAACTGAGCCTGCAGTGCCTCCTTGTCTAGATTTAGAGTGGTTCTTTGACTTTTGAAATTGAACATCATCCTCATATTGTGTTGTGAATTCTGTACTGTTGATGGACAACTTTCCTTTTTATGAATAAATGGGGAGGGTATAAGATTATGAGTTCACATAGATTGTCAGCTGTGGGACTCAGTGCTGAACCCAGGTATACTAATTTCCAGTCCCAGATTCAGAAACCCAAAGGAGGAACAATCAGTGCTCAGAAGAGCAGTTAAGGTGTGGGGAGCATCTGATTTCTGTGCCTATTATGCTTCTAGATACAGAGGGAGCTTATAAAAGGGATTCAAAAGCCTAAACCCAGTATCTGAGATATCTTGCCAGTTCACTGATACTTCACTTCCCAGCTCTATGTCTCTGCTTAAATTCTTATCTTCATTCTGTAAACCCTCTGTTCTACTTCTGGTCAGCCCTCCTCTTTGGTATCCTCCTGGTATACCTACTAGGTTGGCCTTCCCAGGTTACATCTTCATTTTCCTTTGTTTCAGTGGACACCAGTCATGGAGTTGACCTCCTCTCCCCAATGTTCTTACTCTCATGCTCAATGTCTTACTCATCCATGAGCAGGCAAGCATTATTCCTGACTCTTCCCCAAGAGGCTTGGGTATTTGGCAACATCCTCAGCTATATCATGCCAAATATCCAACAGCAGACATGAGAAAAACTGATGTCAGTACAATTAAAAGATTTCTCCTCATTTTTCCCTTGGAGTGAGGAGATAGGGCAGGAAGTTGACTTCATTTTATATCACACTCTCTTCACTCTCTGTCTTGCGAGTGCAGTGAGCCTGCACATGTATTTTAGAGGGGGGGGGGAATGTTGCACAGTTGTGTTGCTGCAGGAAGACCAATGCGTGATTCAAAAGGCAAGTCATGAACTCCCACGGCAGGTGCCTGTAGCATCTCCAGGCATCTCTGCATCTTGGTAGAGGCCTCACTCTATCTATTGGGTATAATATACATACTTCAAAGTAATAATAGACTTCAGAGTATTATTGGGAGATTTATGGTGTAGTAAATGGGATATCACTTTGTTAACACCCAAAGACTTTACAACTTCTTAGTACATTTGACTGTTAGCCAGAGCCTTAAAGGCTTACATGAATGAACCCAAACTGAAAGTAACTGAGGTGTAGAGACAACTCTCTAACAGCACATGAGGGTCTCCTGTAAATGCCTGTAAGACTTATTTTCAGTATTATAAATTCCTCTCTTGGTTTAGGATGTCATGTATCACTTACTCGTAGAAATGTCATGTCTTTAGCATGTAGGTTGAATGTGGTGCCTTGCTATGTAACCTATAACTGCAGTTTTCTTAATTGTTATTTGGATGTTGATGATGATTACTTGGATAATGTATGTGAATCAAAATAAGACAATTTCATACAGACTAAAATTAATACTCAAAAATCCTGTTAGGATCAGCTTTGATGAAATTTCTTCCAGTGGTTGTATAGGCTGCCCTCTGATCTGGAGTTGTGCACAGAGGGGAAGGGCACATGTCCATATTCACTTGGAAACAACTTTATATACCTGTGCTAGTAGACTTGACACTAGGAGACTCCCCTCCTCCTTCATGCTGCAGACTTTCAAGGCAAGATGTTACTTTTTGATCTTAGGCTGTTCCAGAAAATCTCCCTTGGCAAACCTCACCATGACAGCTGGGCTCTATGATGGCAACTTTCTGTAGACAACACTGAAAAAATCTAAACAGCAAGTCTGGAGAAGACTTGATGAGGGAGGCCAGGTGTATACTGAGAATCCAGCTGGAGAGAGCTGAAAGTGTGCCACATAACTTCAGTTAAAAAAAAAAAAAGTATAAAAAACACCCTGAGGAGAATCCCTGCAAGTGTCTCCACTGTGGGTCTCTTGGTTAGCCAGGGACCCCAAGTTCCCACCACTAATTGTCCCTGGTTAATTTTTTATGCAACTTTACTAGTCTACCTCAGAGCCAACAAGCAAGCAAGGCAGGACTGTGTGTGTCTTGAGGTCTAGAAACCAATTAAAACTCATTTCATCTTCCAGTGGCGGTGTCCACACAACAAAGTTCTGGCCCAGAGCATCCATGGAATAAGTACCAGTGAGGTGCTCACTGGCATGGATTCATGGAGACTCTCTGACTCAGCCTGACTGATGATTTAGTGAGTAGTTGAAAGATTCAGGGAAATAGAGTAACTTCTGCTACAGAAAATACCCTAAATGAGGCAGACTGCAAGGCTCCAAGAATTCTAATCAACCCAAAATTCCTTGGATTCACAGGAATGCACAGGATGGCTAAAACTTTTTGAAGTGTGCAGACCCTTTGCCCAAGATATTTCGCCCAAGGTATTTGAATAAATCCACATCTCCATCGTTTCTTCTTCAGGGGCAGATACAGGTTTTATGGGATATGAAACTTAAAGAAATTGAAGAGGTTCTCTGACAGTCAATGGCTACATAAAAATAAATGCAAAACTAGTCACGAAGATGCATATTTGGGATACAAATCTATCAAAACAAAGCAAACAGTTTTAAATTGACAAATATTAAAATAGTGACTATTTAGAAATTGAACTACCTTTCTATATTATCAAGCATACATCTATAAACCCTATTTTCCTGTTTTCTTTGTCCTGCAAATTTCCTGACAAATTGGTTATGATAAAATTTTATAGCTTCTATAGAGAGAAAAGGAAGATAATTCCATCTAATTGAAATTGATTTTTATTTTTTATAGTTTAGAAATACTTTCCTCAATGTTACTGCTCATCATTACTGATTTTACCACTAAATTTTGGTTAAAATTTTTTAAAATTATTAGAAAAATTTGAGAAAACTCTGATACATTCCTTTCCTACATGAACTATAAGATCACCACAAGCTCTGCAATAAGTTTCCATATGAAGATTTACTAATCCCTGGATAGTGTCATGCTAAGCTTCCTCACTCTATCATTCAGTATTAAGAAATGACTGGGAGTTCAATCCAACTCAGTTTTCCAATATTGTCTCACCTTAAAAATTTTACCAGTTTTGAATTCCATATCTTCATTTTCCCACCTTATAGATAATGAAAAATAGCCAAGATTTAATGAATTTATCTCTAGCAGGAAAATCAATTTTGGGCTGCCTATCCATCCATAGTAGAAAGGACTTCCCTAGGTTGTCTGCTATTATCATCTAGATGAAAATTTGAACCACCCAAGACATGACAACACCATTTGGACAACTGAATCTCTTGAAGTCCCACCAAAGATATCTTTCCCTGGTCAGTGTGAGTGATCATTTTGTCTGGCTTCCTTCCCAGGAAGAAGGCCTGGCATTGAGCCTGTGGGACAGCTTGATAGGTTGAGTCCTAGTGCTCCTTGAAGCACCCGATGGATCCCAACTGATCAGATAAGAAGTTATAGGGAACCCCGAAAGAAAGAAAAAGGTGTTGGGACTGAGACTCAGGCCAGTTCAAGCTGAGACCCAGGGTACACCACCTGAAGGAGTGTTGGTCTGTGACTGGTACCAAACAGTGGGCAGGGGATTTAATAACTTGAGGAAGTCAGTGCAAGTTATAGGGCCCCCTGTGTTACTTCTGGGGTCTGAGGGCTGTGCTGCTACAGAGTACTGAGTACTGGTAGACATTTTTATTTTCCTAGCCAGACCTTTTCTCTACTAGCCACATGCTCCCATTCCATCATTCTCATTCTAGTGGTCCGTTGTTGTCGTTCTTTGATATAATTTATTAAAAAGTAAATAATTGATAACTTCAATGCCCATTGTGCAGTCTTGGTTTAGGAAGTGGGGTTAATTTTGGAAAATTGGAAACTATAATGGGTCCAAGTACTTGAAGCCCCTCTTACAAACATTGTCCTTTCTACTTGTGATCTCTCTCTCATTGTCTCTGTCTTGCTCCCTCACAGAATACCGTATTTATTGTTACATATGATGGAAGAAAAACATGTTTGAAGAATGCTTAAGGGAACTTAGTTTAGAGTATATAAAATCTTAGGAAGACTCTCTGAAGGGCCCTGTTGGTGGAAGAGAAGAATGTCTTATTCTTTGTGACCCCAAGGTGTTAAGTTTGGAACAGTGGGTAGGAAGTTGAGGAAGATTCAATCCCAGAGGAAAGAGAAACTCTTTTATGCTTGTCAGAGAGAATGAGCTACCTGGTGGTGAGCCCTTGGCAAGTATTTTAGAGATTGCAGTCAGACATTGGTTGGATTTGGAGTTCATTCTTCTCTGACAAGTTGAAATGAAGTGTGAGAAAATCTGGGCAACTTCCCATGGTTTGATAAAATTCTTCTAGAGTAAGTCAGGTTTATCCTTTGATTTTGCTTCTCTCTCCTGGGTCCATGTGGAGTTCACTCCTGCAAGTTATACCCTGAATCTTTGATTCTCCAGTGCTGCATCCGCCCCTGTATCTTTAGCGCCCTTATATCTTTAGTGAGCTCTGTTGTCACTCCCTAGCAAAGACTCCATTCTGTCTGCTAATGTTCAGAAACTCCTCTCCTACACAGGCTGCTTGTTAGTCATGGCTTCCATATCTGTCCTGTCTAATCATCACCTTGCCTAGGGTCATGTGCACATCTGTATGTGATTCAAGCCAGGGATTGATGTTGGACTATCTCCCCAATGTCTGTGATTCCCCGATGACTGCCTTACATGGTATAGAGGTCTTAGCATTTACTTTTAGTGAACAGTGGATCAGACTGAAGAGATGGATGGTGGAGTAATTCCACCATCATGCCACTCCCTCATTCATTCTCTCTTTCATAGATTATTATATCCAAAACAAATTCTCAGGAAATGCATTGTGACCTGCCTAACTTGGCTAAATCTATTCTAACTTACCTACTTTGTCTTCTCTTCCTATTTTTGTTCTCCTTCTCTCCTAATCTAATGCTTTATTGTCTCCAGTGAGGCCACTGAACAATGCTTAGCTATACCACAGGCTCTCAGATCATAAGAGGATGTTGATCTTTTTTTCCATTTGTGTCATTCCCATATGTTTTAATGATAAATTACCCCATAAAGGGGAGTGGGGAATATATTTTAATGAGACCTTTGGAAACAATTCTTTTCTTTTATTACTGGAAAAAAATAAAGTTTTATGCATTTGTATATTGTGAACATTTTACCACGTGGAATCTACACTATAGTGGAAAGAAAAATGTGATAAAACAGTTAAGTTCTCTTAGTCTCTCTTGAGTGATCTGGGCTTAGCCTTTCCTACCCAGAAAAACTGGGCTATGTCACCAACAGTTGGGAGTAAAAATTAGCCATGCCAGACACCCATAGATAAGTTGCTTTTAACCCTCACCCATGTCATCTCATTGGAGCAGATTGGAATCATCTCCTGTTAGGTAGGTTCTCATTCAGTTATTGTCTGTGTTTCTTGCTAACCCTTTTGTCTTTCTGGATCAAGATCCTTGACTTTTGTCACATCACTGACTTGGAGTGTCTGCTTGATCACCTGGCAGAAGTGACCCCAGCTCTGGAGTACCTCAGCCTTCTGGGTAATGTGGCATGTCCCAATGAGCTAGTCAACTTGGAAAAGGATGAGGAAGACTATAAGAGGTACAGGTGAGTATCCAGGTTTTGAATATGGTGGGTAAAAGGGAAAATAGCATGTTTGAGGGGGATGATATTAATCTATGGGGCACACAGTTGGTATTTCATAAATAACAGTCCCATAATAATGTTAAACTTCACCTTTTGCTACCTATTGTCTCCCTTTGTTGAGGTCACCAGAGATCTAGGTCAAGCATTGACAGACTATTTTTGTTTTTTAGTAACAGTACAATAATAAATATTTTAGACTTTGAAGGTCATATGGTTTCTGCTGCTGCTTTTCAACTCTGCACCCCGTTGTGTGTGGAAACAGTCATAAACAATTAGTGAGTGGCATGACCATGTTAGAATAAAACTTTATCTATAAAAACAGGCAATGGGCCAGGTTTGATCCATGAGCTAGACTTTGCTCAACCCTACTCTGTGTTATAAGACCTCCTGTGGTCTGCCTCAAGATCCCTTTTTGGAGGGACCGTACATATACTCCCAAGAGGAATTTCCACAAAGCTGAGAATTTTGTTTCATAAAGCTACATGCACCTTAGCACCCACCAACCATGCACTTGATGGGATTAGAAATGCTTTTCATATTACTCACTTATTCTAAGCCATCTACTTTGAAACACCTGATCCAAATCCACCTCCATTAGAAAGTCATCTTGATCTATCCACTGTACTAAATTCCTTTCATTTTCCTTCTTCAGTTTTGAATTTTATAAGCTTGCATTCTTTTTTTTTTTTTTTAATTTTTACATCATTCTTCATTTTGTGCCTTTTTCCATCTTGGTTGTAATCCCTGTGGACTTCCCACCACCATTTCACCCGTGTGCCATTACCATAGTCCTGTGCACCTTTCCCACCCCATTTTTTATCCCATTCCCCACTCCACCCCTGTAAAATGTCTCTGGGGTATAGTTGTTTGTTGTTTTTCATTTTTTTTTCTTTATTACACTTGCTCTCCCCGCACCCCCACCCCTCCAGTCCCTTAAGCTCCTATTAGTGAAACTCTCTGGTATTTTTCTTTTTCTTTTTCGCTTATTTCACTAACTTGATCCCTTCCAGCTCCTTCCCATGTTTCTGCAAAAGACATGAGGTGTCCTTTTGAACCAATGTTTTTGTGTCCTTTGGATAGATACCTGAATGTGGAATTGATGGGTTATATGGAAGCTCCATTTTTAGAAGTGTGAGAAAACTCCAAACATAAGCTCGCATTCTTGGAGTTGTTTTATATGTTTCTCATGATTTTATGTATAATTTGTCTTGCTCCATTATGACCCAAGCTCTCATTAACACCCTGCCTGAATCAGTGTGGAAAAGAGAGAGGATGGGAGGGGGGAGCAAGGAAACACAAGGCAGATAGGGGAACTGGAAAATTGAGGTGGGGGGCTTTGGGGAGAGAGGGCAGTGGCTTGAGAGTAATCTTTTGTTCAGACTCATAAAAATCTATGGTAACTTATAAAGAAATAAATTTGGGGACAATCATTTTGTATTAAAACAAAGTTGTAAGAAATTCTGAAGGTTGTTGAATATTGTATATTAAAAATAAAACACAGAGACATATAAGTAAGGCTATAGAAGAAATTCAGCTGTATGTTTTTGTTGGGGAGAATTCTGTAACTTAAACCTTATGTTCTAGGTTCTTTGACTAATATTGTAAGATTCTGAGATTGGTTTTATCATTTATTTATATTTTAAGATTTATTTAATTTATTTACACATACAAGAGCTGTGGTGGAGGCCAGAGGTGTGGTGGGTGAGAGGTTTCAGCAGAGACAGAGTGGGGAGCAGAACTGGCAGATCTACTCAGGGTAGCAGCAGATGAGACAGAGAGGTCTGCTGCACCATAGGGTCGGCTCCCTGGCTGGGGATTGAACTTATGGCCCTGTGGTTGGCATTAGCTTGATAGTGCTGAGACTAACCCCTGTGCCACCAGGGAGGCCTCTAGACTGGTTTTATTCCAAAAATAAAGCTCTAATCCTATTTTTAAAACAAATGTTTAAAATATTTCTCCATTGTTATTTGGGATGCAGTAATGCATATTTGAATGTGAGCTCTATTAGGAGAAACATGATTAATGTGAAACAGGTGAGTACTTACAAATTTCTAAATGAGCCCTTTAAGTTTATTAATCATTTAGAACTGAAGCACTTCTTTAACATTCTTAACAATTTTGAAGCATGTAACAACTGGATTGGAGGTATGAAGGGTTGCTTAAAACATATTTTATCTTTTTTAGTAACTTGCAGTGTTTTGAAAAGGTCAAGCAAGTCCAAGAAAAGTCTCTCAGAAAACATTTTTAGTCAACAAAGCATTCTTTGGGAAATTAGCTTGTTTTTGACTATTTTCTTTAGACTTCTGTGTTTCTTTAGAATAGCACAAAAAAATTACAATGTGTGTGCTTATATATGTGTCTTGTGTATGTAGGTATATTTATAAATATGGTAATTACTCATGGTCAAAAACCTAAATGTGAATGGAAATGGCATATAATTTCTATTTTTAGAAAGAGAGAATAGTGGGGAAACCCCCCAGTTCTATTTGTTGGCACCCACCTCTGCCTGTGTGATCCATAAAATGGGAAGTATAGTCTATCTCAGTGACTATTAAACATGAACGACATTTTCAAATCATCTAAGGCCTTGCCATTCATTTGATTGCAAATGCAACCAAATAGTCAAAAGGTAATTCTGGTGCTCAATTTGGAACTAATGGACTAAGTAGTCTTTAAAATCTCTGTTGACTATATAACATTTACAGTTCTTCCTTTTTTATATATGCTGTATTGCACATTTTACTCACTACACATATGTCAATATTCAAAGAATGGCTCCCAGTAGGTAGTGGCTGTGTTTTGTCCTTTGAAACCTCTTTAATACCTAAAGTCCTGCTGGCCGTGGAATAGACTTAGTAATTGTTTACCAGAGATGGCTTTAAGTTATCCTTCCCTCTGAGGAGCTAAGTACTTAACAGAGAGCTGCAGGGCCTGTGAACATCAACTGCCTATGTGGAATCATACCATTTAGATGCCAACAAATGCAGTAAATCAGCAAGGAATTATCCTTCAGATTTCATCTGATGTTATTGGGTCATGATTCTTTAGCAAGGGCATGATATTTAGAGGAGTGACCAAGTCTGTAAAGATGGCCTAGTTCTCCTTCAAGCTTGTGATTCCCACCCTAGGTCTGTTCCCCGGGCAGGCTTTGTGGGATGGGCCTGGAAGACTGTGTATTAGATACTCGTATAGCCAGGAGGTCATCAGGAGCTAGATTTGAGGAGCTGCTTACAGTCAAAAATCACATCTCATCAAAATTATCTCAGAAAATCCATGAGTCACCCTCAATGATGGCAAGGTGGTTACATTCTGAGACAAGTAGGAACTAAGAATGATGGAAGGGACATTAAACTTGAGTCTATCCAGCTACACATTTACTGAGCCAGGGCCAGCCAGGGGATGGGGGATGGTGGAGCAGTTCTCCAGCAGTATGAAACTTTTTATTTAATTCTTGATTTCTGGTTTGACAAACTCACACTTGCATTTGAATAAGATGTTTGTGTGTGTGTATGGTACATTTCTGTTCTATTGTTTGTAAGAAGCTCTGTTTTGTTCATTCTGAAGTTGTTCCATTTGTCCCTGAGAAATGTTAGGGTTTCACAGTATGACTTTTGAATCCAGAGTTCCTGTGGTGTTTGGGTTTTTATATGTAGCTGCCATTTTTTTTCCCTCTCTCTCTTTTTTGTAAAATATTTTTCTGGCCCTTCATCCACAAAACTTGAATCTGCCTTCTTCCTAGCTGTTACCCAGATCTAAATAGTAGAGCCTATGTAAATTTATGTGATATTTTCACTAGAAAATTGCTTAAAAATGAGTGATATTTCTAGTTTACTGTTTTTCACTTTAAGTACATTTTCTGACAATATGTCTTCTATTAATCATTTAAGCAATAGTAGGAGTCTTAAAGGAGTGTATTCAGAAGTAAGAACCCATGGTTCATTTAGTGCTGTCTCAAAAAAATTTCTTATTGATTGGCATCCTCTGTGGTTATGTGATGTAATATTTATAGTATGTCACCCAGCCATACATCAAAACAAGTATGTCTGTTGTTTCATTTCCATGGGAGATGTTGATTTCAGAGAGGTCAGCTCACTTTTAGGTCACTTTGTGGTCAACCACTGGACCAGAAATGGGAAGTGACTAGATTTATGTAGTTATTGAAAATGGCTTCACAGATGCTTTGGTTTCTGGATTCTTTCCTTCCCTCCCCCCACTTCACCTTCCTCCTTCATCACTTGCCCCTGTGCACAGTTGGGTTTTCTTGGCATGCATCCCCACAGTAAAACGGGCTCATTAAATCTGCACATGAGTGCAGACACTCTACCAGGCTGTGGAGCAGTACCCTGGCCTTTCTGAGGCAGGAACAAAACTGTGCCTGGAGTTTCTCTTTGCCATTGATCATACTCTGGCTGAGAAATATCCATTGCCATGTTAAGGCAGGCGCTAAACCTGTGTATGCTTTGCCGTACGCCTGCTGTGCTGCTATTTTGGGATGAATGTTGAAGGGAGGTGAATGTTCTAGCCAGCTTCTTTCCGGATTTGGGCAGGAAGATAGTGGTGAGGCAAAACTGGCCTGCAAGACCACCATTTACTAAAACCACTTGGGAGCTCCTGTGGACTTGAACACAAATCAAAAAATAACCAAATAGGGCAAACTTGGGTGCCCAGAACGGTTTAGTCTTCCCTTACCTTGGAGTTCTTTTCTTTCTTACTGCAGGAAGGGCGGCGGAGTAAAGATTGATGGTGTTCAGGGCTAGAGCTCACCTGTCCATAAGTGTGTGGGTCTCACCATCTCCTGGCTCCACCTCTGTCCTTGAGCTTTTTGCCGTTGATTCTCTCTGCCACTCCAACCTGTAGTTGGCCTGGCTTTCTTCCTTCCTACTCGGTAGACCCTGTCTGCATTCCCTACAACTTTAAATTATTTAAAACATGGCGCCCTTTCTTTGTTCCTTCTCAGGGAG